ACCTTCAACTGTCACAACATTGTAATGTTGCTTCTTTTCCTCTTTTCTATAAATACTATAATAGGCGCTACTCCAAAGAGCTAGCATCTCTTGTGCCATTAACTAAAATTTGTTTTCATATTACTCGTCATTCAATTAAGTCTTCTTTTACTGTGACTGTTGTGAAGGGCTCCAAAAATTCTTATTTGTTTAATTTTGTTCCTTGAACATCAGTTCTTCGGAATTTTCTCCCTTCATTTCTTGATTCATATAATTTGCATTCTTCTAAGTCGTCTGTTAATCCTTATCTTGCTTTATAAACTTTATCTTTTTTCTTCCAGTAACTTCCAACTCTAATAGTGTTTGCTTACAGCCTTGTTGGAAGTGAAGATGCAAAAATTAAAAAAAGAGAAATTCTCTGTAATGATTGCTAAACTATTTCGTTGGAGGTTAATTCCACATGAGGAATTCTTGTTTGAGTTGAATAAAAGTTGTAGCACTCAAGTCAATAGTGTTGGAATAAAGAAAAACTGTACAGATTGACATTGTAACAATTTAATACATTTAATAACCGTTTTTAATACTCTTCAATAATTTTTTATTCTTTTTCAAAATTGTGTGGGTTGCAATTGCAATGCAACGTTTTTATTTATTTGTGATTCTGTTGATAATGTGATTTTTGTCATAAAAGATGTAGAAATATATTAAATTAAATGACAATAAACATACTGTAATAAACTAAAAAGTTTAGTTTAAAAAATAACATTAAATGTTATAAATTAAACTAAACAAAAAGTTTAGTTTAATTTACAACATTTGGCATAGCAAATGTAACTTTAATGATTTTTAAAATTGAATGGATATCAAAATAGAAAAAATTGCGATGGAACTTGTTGGAAATGGCAAAATTAGTGTCTAGTTTAGAAAAATGACAAGTTTCAAGTTTAATGCACCTTGTGTCCTGATGGTGCTAAAAATTAACACAACTTCAATCTCCCTCAAAAATGGTTAACTTGTTGCTAAGCTAGGATCTAATATTAAACTTAGTTTCGACCAAATTGTGAATCCTTTGGTGCAAAAGCTGATTGAAGGTTGAAGCTCCCAAAAACGTCAAAAAAGAGTTTGACAGACAGTTTATAGCTCAGCAGCATATGTGAAGTACAAAGTGATGAAGGAAATAAAACTGATAAAATCCAATAGAGGAAAGTTTTCTTGTGAGTGATGAGGCATTATTTAAACAAATTAAAGTTATGAACGTCCATATATTTTTGGACTCAACAATTTAATCAAAATCTTAGTATGATTAAAATGGGAAAAGAATATGATGCTAAAACCCTTTTGATGTTGCAAAATCATCAATTAATGACCTTTGGCATTGATCCTGACAGAGGTTGCATCAGTCAAACTATAATTTAGGCAAGTGTTTGCACTAAATAGGGCCAGCTCTCACAGCGACTTCATCAAGTATGCTATGATCATGGAATCCATCTTTGTGTGACACGAGTACTAAAACATAAAAAGATATTTTCAGATATCAATTAAGAAGAATAAGATACATAGAGTGACATGTTAGCATGCACATCTCATAGTTTTTGCAATGCACCAAGTGTGCTTAGTACAGTAACAAACGGAGAAGATAAAAGAAAAAATAAAGTTGACACAAATTTTGATGAAAAATAGTAAAAATAAAGAAGCATTTGAGTACAATCCTGATTTGTCTAGTACTAAAACTCTTGAAGATGTTCCAACTATTGTAAAAAAATTCAAATACAAACTAAAGTTAGTCAAAGAGCTTAAAGAAAATGACTAATCTCTTGGAATCAAAGACTATTACTGGTTCTCGGACTAGTTAAAATTTGATGGAGTAGTCCATTGAAAATGTTACAAACTTTCAATGACATGCCAGCTATAGAAAAGCCTTGTAAAGCATTTGAACACGGGGGCCTGATTATTTAGAGATTCCTTAATTAGTAGCAACTCTTCAACCATGTAAAATGGCTATGGATGCCATGAGTGGCGATGATTTGAACTCGAATTCTGCATTGCAGAAGGTGCATTGGAATTTTTGTTAGAGAAATTGAAAATGAAGGAAAGTTTTATTTGTGGTTGTTTGATTGAAGAAATTAAAATAGAGTTTCTTAAATGATGTTTGAATTTAACTGTCTGCTGAACAATTCAAGAGTTCTTCAAGAGCCAATAGTATCCCTAAGTCTTACTATCATCAAATAAAAAAATTATTCAAGAAGTGAAAAGAGTTTAGTTTACACATTTTTTTCACTCCATCCAGGAATGATGACAGTGATAATCTTATGGAAATTGCATCTGAAGCTCAGCAGTTGAACAGGCTCTCAATGATCTTAAGTTACATCTTCTTTAAAATGTCAAACAACTTCAAACTTTGTCCCAAAGCTCAAAGAACCATCAAGATCGAAAAAAAAATCCAATGTGAGACAACAAATCCAAGTCACTGATCCTAATGATTTGACTGCTGAAGAATTCAACAGCTGCATTATGACTGGATTCAAATCAGAAAAATTAAGTTAGAACATGTGTTAAAACTAATCAAACCAACATCGATTCAATGTGAGAAAAGTTTTTAAATTTCAAGCAATCACCGTAGTGAAAAATGGGAGAGATTGATAGCTGCAACTTTGAATGACTTGAGTCTTTTGAAAAGTTTTTTCAAGAATCAACATTAATTTGATAAATGGTAAAAACTTGTAGTTCATTAATAATAAAAAAATTAAAAACACAAGTTTTTTTGGAATATTTCACTTTTACATTTATTTCATTTCACACTTACATTTCTGAAAAGCCTCAGTTTTATCTTGGTTTTGTATGAGATCTTGTCTTATATGGACCAAGAACCGAGACAAAAAAACCCCCGAGATTCTGAAAGTATATGTGTGTGTGTATATATATATATATATATATATATATATATATATATATATATATATATATATATATATATATATATATATATATATATATATATATATATAATTACATAATTTATGGATTTAGTAATTTACAAAGCATTTTGCATAGTATAGTAATTTAAAAAGTATATATATATATATATATATATATATATATATATATATATATATATATATATATATATATATATATATATATATATATATATATAAAAGCTTTGACAGGAATATTTATGTAGGTAGAATAAAACCCTTGTAAACATATACTTTTGAGAAAAAAGTTCAATACTATAATATTTATTAGGTTAGGTAGCTTTTTGAGTTTTTTTTTTTTTATATCTAGTTTCTCTCCTGCTTGAAATTTTTTCGTTGCTGTTTTAAAATTTTTGTAATGTTGTTCATAAAAGTTTTTATAATTTGTTCACAAAAAACAAATGAAACAAATGAATTTATGTAGGTGAAGATACTACATTTTTTGTAACAAATTTTCTAGAATATGACTTTTGAATGAGGAAAGATGAGGAAAAAAACGTTGCGAATTATTGTTTCTCTGCTATGTTTTTTTTGTGATTTGAAAATAAAAAAAGTTTGCAAATTTGTCTTTTTGATTTTCCTTGGAATAAAGGTGGAACAAACTGGAACTAACTGAAAAAATCAAACAAGAAACTGAAAAATACTTGTAGAGTCAAGATACAAATTGGAACAAAACCGAAGTGGAACCACTACAGAATGAAATGAAAACAAATGCAAATTGAGAGCAACAAGATGGAAGAAAAAAACACAATGGGGGGGGGGGGAGGGCACAACTATTAAAAAATTATTACAAATTAGTTATCATAATCATAAACTTCTTCTATTTTGTTTATCAAAACATCAAAAAAGTCATAGAAAATTATTAAAATTTTATCAACTTTTCCAAAGTTTTACAAAATATAAAATAAGTTAAATACATCTGAAAATAAGTTATTGTTCTGAAAACAACCATTCCCAAGACTTGCTGCAAATATTGACTGAGAGTTTTAAAGCAATTAAAATGTAGTTTTAAGACAAAAAAATTTGGCTTTGAAATCTTTAAAAAGTTTATAATTTTAAATTACTTTTTTTTTTAAGTACTCTTTAGATCAATTCCAGGTTTCTTTTTTAATTTTATTTTATAGGGTTTTCCTGATTTTCCAGAAGTTGTTCCCACAACCTTAAAAAATGCGTTAGTTGCTACACAAGCAGCTAATGCTCCAGTTGTTAACAACCAGTACACAAGAGGTCAGGTAATATACTTTTAATAATGAGTTTCTAAATCATGAAAGTATTTTTAGTTATATGAAAATGAAGAAAGCGACTATATTGTTATATAGATCATTAATTTAAAAGTGATTCTTGCAAAACTGATTTTTGTGTTATTTTTTTCATTTGCTTAAAAAATGTAAAGAATTTTCATTATAACATTTAGATTTGGTTTCTTTTTTTTTCTATATTCTTAATTACAGAAAGCAAAAATAATTTATTAAAAAGCAAATCACAAAATGATGATTTGTGTACACGTTTTCAAGTTTTATGATAAGCAAATTTTTTTTTATTTTAGAGTATTTAAATTATTTTTTAAATATCGTCTATGTGATGTTTATTCAAAAATTTTAGATTGTAAAATAAGTATTTAACTGCAACAATTATTTTGTTAAAGATACTGAATATTTTATATAATCTTTTTTTAAATTAAAAAAATTTAAATTAAATATGATTTGGAAATTTAAATTTAGTTTTGAAGGAATATAAATTAGTAAAACATAGAATGTAAAATGTAGTTTCAAAGGAACCTAAAATAGTTTGCAAAATTAAAGAAAATTTTTTCTTATCGTCTAATTCTTCACATAAAACATAAGTTTCGTCGTAGATTAAAATATGTCAAAATTAATAAACTTTTTTTTTAAAAAAAAAAAAAAAGTGAAAAGTGTTTAATAGAATTTTTTACAAATGTATTAAAATTTTTTTGTTATTAATTCAATACCGTGCAAAATTCTTTTGATGTAATTTATTAATGAACATAAATTATGTTAAAAAATATCTTATTGGCAACTAAAATCTATTTATAAATTGTTTATAATCTTTGTTAAAATTATTACAGTAAATATGTTTTAAAAAAAAAATTCTACTTAATTATAATAAAAGCAGTAAAACAAATTTTTTTATTAATTCTAATTGAAATAAAATTAAAATAAATTTAAATTATAAAAAGGTTTTCAAGTTTTTAAGGTAATGTTGATGTTTGAAAGAAAAGTAAGTTGGTAGACTGACTTGTTTTTATGTCATTTATATTCTCAATGTTTGTCAATTTACCGATCTAAAATACTTTTAAGTTTTTCATGTTTTTGCTGAATTTAATTTCAAGATTCCAAGAGAGTTGCGGTAATTTTCAAATATGCTGAAATAAAAAAGTGCAAAAAAGTATTAAAAACAAAAATCATATGAAAATCATGCATTAAATCACAATAAATGTTTACATTATGTTTTATTTTTTTAGGGTAACATTGATCTTGTAAATGCTATTGCAGACATTTACAGTCCACTATTTGGTAGATCAATAGATGCAATGAAAGAGGTAAATTAAAATTTTTACAGTTAATTTGTTATTTAATTTATTATAGTTTTCATGTTATCTTAAGTAGCAGTTAGAACTTAGTAAGTTAGTAACTCAAATCTAATTTGTTTTTTGTCTGATATTGATTCAAATCTAACAGATTTACATAAAGTTTAGAGCATTAAGATATGCTTTTTGAAATTATGATATGCTTTTTGTTTGCATCAAGTTTTAAATCTGTTTAAAAAAATCATAAAAATGGATAACTTAAACACTTTAAAAAAAAAAAATGAAATTTTAAAATTTAAAATTTTAAGTCATAATTTTCATTTTTATACTTTCTTTTATACTTCTAACAAGGATAATTTACTACTTTTGCTGCTTCCTTGAATCAGACAACCATTTAATTAGACTTTTAGTGCTTAATTGAAACGATTTTTTCCAGCTTTATTGAAAGGTTCTATATTTTTAGCTTTGTATTTTTTGTTTGTTCAAAAACTTTTGCAAACCAGTGTAGATGAAATAAATAAGTCTAGATCTAATAAAATTTTTAATGTATTTGTAATGGTCAGATATTTGTTTATAGAGTTTGTAGTCTTTTATCCTTTATTTATTCCTTAAGAAATAATTATAACAAAATCTGTTTATCTTCTAATATCCTTTTATCTATTTTTTTTTAAAGTAAAAAAAAGTAATAAATACAAAAAATACCTTTCCTATAAATGTAAATTATGTCATAATAGAATTTTTTATCATACTTGGTCAATTTCTTGATTCAGCCATTATATTTATGTAATAATGAATGCTTTATAAATAGGTCATGGTTACAGTAGGCGCATATGAAGCCTTGCATTGTATTATTAATGCTGTTGTCAATCCTGGAGATGAAGTAAGTTGTAAATAAAAATGTATGCTAATTTGAGTTTGCTTAATTTGTATATATTTTTACATGTATATATTTGTACAGCTATTGTAATGAAATCTCTTTGTTTAATAAATTTTGTTAGAGTGTTTTGAAAGAAAAACATTAAATAACACCAAAATTTTTTTTATTACATCTTGATATTTTCCAAATTTATATGATAAAATATTAACTCAAACATGAAACATCTATACTAAAGAATTTATCTAGTTTTCTTATCAATGACAATATATTTATGGTACTTTGTGTACTTTTTATCTGTATTCTAAATTTCTATAAAGTTTTATCAATGAGCACCCTGATTGTTTGTATTTGCTAGAAACTACTTAAAAGTAGGAAAATAAGTTATTTAAAAAAAAAAAAAAGTTTAAAGTTGTTATAAAAGCCTTCATATTGACAATGTTTAGCAAAGTGACTTTAAAATGCGATCATTTTGAAAATAAATTTTATGCTTAACTAAATGCATTTGAAAAACCAACAAACATTCAATTATTTTTAAAATTCCACCATTTTAACTTGTTAGGATTTGTGTTTTAAAGTTATAGCGATTAGAAAGGGTGAAATATAGATGGGTAAAAAATAAATTCTTTTTCATAGTTATGGTTGCATTAAATTAAAATGTAAATCTTTATAATTTTTTTTTAATTAAAGTTTACAAGTTTAAATCATTTTTAATATGAAAATATATTTTAACAACCATTTATGAAATTTAAGCAATCATTGAAATCAGTTTTTATGTAATTAAACAAATTGATTTCAAAAATGATGGCTCCATGGTATGTATCATTCTTAATTATTTGAAAAAATAAGCAAGTTTCATCAATACTAGTAAATAGGGTTATAAACTTAAAGAAATTCAAAGTATTTTTATAAAATATATAAAGGCAATGATTTTTTTTTAATTAAATTTTTTTAGGTAATTTTAATTGAGCCATACTTTGACAGCTATAGTGAAAGCATTCTTGCAATTAATGGAGTTCCACGCTACATACCTTTACGACTAGTAAGTAATTTAAATATTATTATAAAGTTATGAGTGTAAATAAAGAAATTTTATCTAAGGAAATACAGTATTTTCAGGTTTTACAAACTTGTAAATTTTACTTAGTGTAAGGTTTTATTGTATCATACTTTAAATAATTTATGTACTAAAATGTTAATCAATTTTTTTTAATGTTATATTGGTAAATACAATTTTAATGTTATATTGGTAATAATTTTTTTTTCACAAGAGAAATATTTAAAGATGTTTAAATTGAAAGTTTTTATCATCTAACTAAAATCTTAATTCTTCAGCCAAAAATCACTTTTTTAATTAGTTATTAAGATGCTCTAATATGAAAAGAGTCTTAAAATGTGCATACTGCCAGTCTTAACACTTGCATATTGAAATTTTTTTTGGAGTAAAAAATTTTCAATATGCAAGTGTAAAAGAAAGTAAAAAAGACTATAACAATTTAGTAATAAACTTTTTTCATAAATTAAAATTAAACTTAATAAATATGTTAATGAACAACAAATGCTGTTTATCAGTTGTTTATCCTGGGTGCAGAATACATTTTTCCAGTTTCAAAAAGAATGACTCACCTTGTGATGAGTGAGAAGGTAAAGTAAAGTGAAGTAAAGTGAGAAGGTAAAGTAGCTTTGACATGTTTATTTATGAATCATTCATTCAAATTATACGTTAGCTGTAAGTTCTTTTAACTAAGTTGAGTAGAAAACACAATTGAGAAATAACATTAGGGTTATAATTTTATTTCTAACAATATATCATGCTTACAATATCAAAAGAATAAATATTTTTTCAAAAACTGACATCATAATCGCCATTTTGAGCAGCTATAACTCACGAGCTATTTCTAATTGACAATTAACTGTCAATTAGAGTGTTTACATCTTAAATAATCCTTAAAAAATAAGTTTCATATTGTTTAAATGTTCCAAAACAAAGTATTTATCAAAACATTAGCAAAAAACTATTTCTACTATACTTTTTAATAAATAACTATTATTTCTATTATACTTTTTAATAAATAACTTTTAACCCAATTTTTTTTCTTGAAAGTAAGTTTTGATTTTAACAACATTTTTTTTCTCGAAAGTAAGTTCTGCAGTGTTTATTTAAAAAAAAATCTTTGACTTGAGCTATAAATGTTGTTTAGATTTTCCCTTTTGCAATTAATTTTTTTTTGTAGATCAATTCTTTTATAAATAACTTAATTTATATTTTATATTATATTAATAAATTTATATTTTGTATAACTAAAAAACACTATTCAAAATGTAATGGCTAGTTTACTTAAATCTAAATCAAATTTCTTTCTGTTTTTCACATCTTGCACCTAATTACCCTCATAACTATAAATTCACCAGTGTGTTTGCTAATATCTTTTACATTAGCATTTGTATTAGATTCTCCTCAAGCTGAGAAGGTAAAAAAATTTCTGATTGCATAAATTTTTAATTTTTTTTTTAAATACAAGATATATTTAAGTGCAAATTATATATAGGTTGCTTCTGGAATCATTAATAGCTACAGAAAATTTGGTTAATGGATCTACTTTTTGTTTATCTATATGAGGAAACCCTCTTTAAGTCACAATATAGTCACCAGAAAATAAAGAAAAACTTTCATGTAGCATCTTTCTTTCAAGATAGTAAAGCAAGTACAGGTTATGCTTGAGCTGTCATTTAGAAAAACAAAAAGATGGTTGCTACTCTAATGGAACTAAGCTTTTCATGTATTTCTTTTATTTCTATTACTACAATATGCAAAAGTGTAATTTTGAAAGAAAGACAGTATATTATGAGACCTTGTATATTTTCAAACTTTATAAGGATTTATTTGAGCGATAGAAGCTCATTTTTAAAGTTGATCATCAATGTCTTTGATTGTCAAAAGAAGAGTGATTTAGATAAGCTCTTGAGTAACTGTGTTTACAAAAGCATGCAAAATTTTGCTTAGAATGAATGCATTTGAAATTACTTTAAAAGAAACCATGGTTAAACATGGATTGCTTTTTTGAGGAGTGTCCTTTTTTTTTAAAATTTTCTTTTTTTTTTCAAGTGAAGTAATGTTTGTTTACATATTAAAAATACTTAAAAGTTTTTTTATACTTTAAAAATTTTTGTTTAAAAAGTTTTGCTTTAATATATATAATCTAATAAAACATATAGAATTATTATGTTTATTACTGTTTTCATTTTTTATTGTGTGTTTAACAACACCAAAAATATGATATTTTTATACTTATCAAATACTCATATGACATTATTTTTAAAGGATTTTAAAAAACTCAAGACAACAAAGCATCTTTTTGACGTTAAAGATTTTAATTTTCTCAAGTCTATACGTTTTTTTAATAGTAAATAAATTTAACAAACTAAATTGGGAAAAAAAATAGCTATTTTATAGCAATTGATAACAGTTTACAATCATTACGTCATTGCATATTACTTATCCTTTATTTGCACGCACTTTGCAAATGCATGAAAATTGTTTTGAAAAAATAAAAATTAATTAAGTTCAATAAAGATCTTTGATATATCTAATAACTTATTAACTAAAATAAAAACTATTCCAAGATAAAATTTGCTTACTTCCTTTATTTTTAAATTGAATGTTCTTCAATAAATAAAGATAAGAATGTTAATTAAAAAAACAAAGGTTTATCGCGTCCTGATTAGGTTTAGAGAAAAAACACCTTTTTATTGTGACTGTTCTAAAGTGCTTTAAAAATTCTTATACGTCTAGTTTTTTTTCCTAGAACTTAAGTTCTTTGGAATTGGCTTCCTTTATCTTGTTTTCCTGATTCATATAATTTGGAATCTTTTAAGTTGTCTGTTAATCATTATCTTGCACAATAAATTTCTACTTTTCTCTTCCAGTAACTTTCAACTCTAATAGTGGTTGCTTGGAAGTGAAGAAATGAAAAAAAAGAAATATATATGTACAGGCCTCGGGAGGAGGCAATGAGTGCAAGAGTGGTGAAAAGCTCTCCTAAAACAAACATGGCAAGTTATGCGAGCTGCTTCTCTAAATTTTTTAGTTTTTATTGCTTATAAAAAAAGTTTTATATTTTCTTATTGTAATAGAATGTAGGGTTTTTAAGAATTGATAAATATAATTATTAAAATGACTGCGTTTTTTATTTTAGTTACAATGATAATTAAACTTTTGAGAGAAAAAATTATACTTTTGCGAGAGCTGTAAATTGCTCCTGTAAACTGTTTTAGGGGAGTGTGGGCAAAAGCCTATACTCCCCTAAAACACTGTATGTATGTATGTATGTATGTATGCATGTATGTATGTATGTATGCATGTATGTATGTATGTATGTATGTATGTATGTATGTATGTATGTATGTATGTATGTATGTATGTATGTATGTATGTATGTATGTATGTGTATGAATGTATATATGTATGAATGTATGTATGTATGTATTTAATTATGTATGTATGTATATTACGAGAAATAAATATTAAACAAATGTCCATTTTTTTAAATATTTAATGTTATACTTAATTTGTTTTAAGAAAGAAGGTGGAACCAATGCAAGCGATTTTGTTTTAGACAAAAATGAGTTGACAGGCTTGTTTAATGAAAAGACAAAAGCTATAATTGTAAACACTCCACACAATCCTACAGGGAAGGTAAATGGTTTATTATTATTTTTTTTTAATTCTATGAAACTTTTTGTTTAATGATGTTTATAGATGCCTTTATTGTTCTAATTATTTATCAAGTCAAAACATAAAAGTGAAGCCACAACTCTAACTGTTTTTTGTTTTTTTTACTTTATTGATTGAGCGGAGACAGCCCACTTTCAATAATAAAGATACTGTTAGCAGGTTGATTCGTGTCAAAGACACTGTTAGGTTGAGAGTTTGGCTGGAGCAGCACATTTGTCAACTGTTTTTATTGTTCTTCTGAATAATTATTAAAATTCTTTTTTTTTTTAAATTTAAAAGGAAAATGTATTTTATTTTTTATTTATTTATTAAAAATAATTTTTTAGGTTTTTACACATGAAGAAATAGAGTTTATTGGCAACTTATGCAAGAAATATAATGCTTTATATATCAGTGATGAAGTTTATGAATGGCTAGTGTATCAGGGATCAGAGCATATCAGAGCTGGTAAAATATTTATTTTCAATATTTTAATTTAAAAATTAAATCAGCGCTTGTAAAAGTTCTTTTCTAATAAAAGCAATAAAAGTTCTAGTGCTTTTAATTTTCAAATTAAAAGGTTTCTGGATTTTATAATATAATATCCATTATGTAGGAGGCACTTCAAACTGTGTAATACTTGTGTATTGTGAATATTGTATGATGGAGTCAAAATCAAAAAATGTTTAGATTTTGACCTCATTGATAAATTTAGTTTGGGATAACATTTATTAAAATTTAAATTTCAAGAGAAGATTAGATGTAGTACATATTGCTAACAACCAATATGTAGTGGAAGAAGCAACCCTTTCCGGATGACTTTTCTGATTCAGAAATGCTACTACATCACTTTTAGATTGTGTGTATGCTGCAGTTGTTTCACAAATAAACACTATAAATAAATGCTCCAAAATGACATCCGGCAAATCAGTCATTTAGCAAATTACAGATATCATGGAATATACTTTTAACTTAACCATTTAGTATTAACAAAACTTCTATTTTTTTTTTTTTAGAATTGCAACTTGCATTTCTTTTCCATTAATTCTTTTACAATTAAAACGAAGAGCCCAGAAATTTTTAATCTGAGTGCTTTTTAAATTTTCTTTTATTACATCTGCCTCCCTATAAGTAATATAAAGGTACTGCTAAGTACCTTTATATTACTTTTTTATTATTTTTATTATTTTATTATTATTACTTTATATTACTTTTTTATTATTTTATTATTATTACTGCTAAGTACCTTTATATTACTTTTTTATTATTTTTATTATTTTATTATTATTACTTTATATTACTTTTTTATTATTTTATTATTATTACTGCTAAGTACCTTTATATTACTTTATATTACTATATAATTTTTTACAAACACACAACCTTTTCTTTTTGGGCTAAGTATAGAAATTTTCTAAAAACAAATAACTTATGGAATTCTGATTCATAATTGTTTGTTTGTCTCAGGATTAAGACTGGGTTGCTTTGATTTAGGTTTTTCAAAATAAGCTAAATTGTTAGTCTGTTTTTTTTTATTTTTTTTATTTTTCATTAATGAAATTCTTCAATTTCATTTGTTGCATGACCCATTCCTTGTTGCTTTTTATTTGTAACTTATAAAATTTTATTTATATATAACTTATCAAATTTTATATGTTTAAATAATCAAGTTTCTTTATTTAGTCATAGTTTTAATAAATGGTTTAATTTAATGCAAAAAAATCTAATGGTAAAAATTTGTTATTTGAAATTCCACTCTTTGTGACTTTTTCTTTTTTTTAAAGGGGTTTATATAATTAAATATAAGGGGTTACATAATTTTGTTAAAATTTGTACTACATAATTTTGTTAAAATTTGTACTACATAATTTTGTTAAAATTTGTACTACATAATTTTGTCAAAGTTTCTACTACATAATTTTGTCAAAATTTGTACTACAAAATTTTGTTAAAATTTGTACTACATAATTTTGTTAAAATTTGTACTACATAATTTTGTTAAAATTTGTACTACATAATTTTGTTAAAATTTGTACTACATAATTTTGTTAAAATTTGTACTACATAATTTTGTTAAAATTTGTACTACGTAATTTTGTTAAAATTTGTACTACATAATTTTGTTAAAATTTGTACTACATAATTTTGTTAAAATTTGTTCTACATAATTTAAATAAATGCAAAAATATGTATCAAAGGACTACTGTCAAGCCCAAGTGAAATAAGGAAAAATTTAGGAAAAGAAAAAGGATAAAATAATTAAAAATGTATATTGAACAGATGTTCAGAACAAAAACAAAGATACTATTGTAAAGGGTTTAGTAAAAAATAATAATTTAGGCATCGCGCATGTAAAAGAAATGTAATAAAAACAAAACAGGACACATAAGTAACCATAATCTACATTAAATACAAATGTTTAACATACTTAAAATAAAAATACATATGTATAGATATATCAGTATTCAAAATGAATAAATATAAATTCATAGGAGGTATATGTTAAAGAAAAAACATTATTGCTTTTGTGTAATCATAATTTATGTAGTGGTGGTTATAAACTTCTCCTCAGAATCGCGTTTACTGTTACTCGCGTTTCAAAGAGGCTGAGCGCTGAGTACCTAGTTTATCCCGTCAGATAAACATCATTGCTATTTATGCTTTACCCCACAATTTACGCCTACTCCATACTGCAGTAAAAAAGGACTTCACTACAAAACAGCCAAAATCTTGACCTCACCCAAATTTGTAAAGCACTAATATTTTTGAAGAAATAATATGGATAGTGAGAGTAGTGAATTCAACACCAAATAATATAACAAATTTAAAATAAAATAAAATATATATAAGATAATAAGCTAAATCTATAAAATAAAATATAAATAAAGTTTTTAAAGGGATCCCAAACTCCCAACACATGTTGTGTTCATATTAAAGATAATGTTAAAAAAAAAGGTTTGAACCAAATTTTTTTGATTAAAAATAAATAATGAATAAAAAGTTTTAGTATTTGACGTCATGGTAGACTTTTAACGTAAGAAAAGTGTAATTAAACTAAGCTGCGTTTTTCTACTGTAGTATTTTTTTAACATACAGCAAAACAAATTTATTTGTATTATTTTTCCAAACATCGCAAAAAAAATTTTGTAAAAAGTAAAAACAATAAATTATTTTTATTTTATAGGAGCAACTTATTTTTTACAGATATCTTAATAATTTTTAGATTTATATATCTTACTTATATTTCTTTAATTATTTAAATTAAAACAAATATTAAAGCTTTACTTACCAATCTCATGATTTTCATACGAGTATTTTACATTATATAGAACGTTTTATATACCGTCTCTTGTTTTTGCGCAAGAGAGCGCAGTATTATATATTCTGATTCTTAATTATTTTTATTTAAACAATAGGAACTATTTTCTAACTTCTCTGGTTATTTTTACGCTATGGCAATTTTTTGTTTTCCCGTTTAAAAAAAGTATTTATTAACAATTACTTTCATAAACTGACAGTATTAATTAGAGATATTTAATGAATTGTTAACTTTTTTTATTATAAAATTTGTTTGATCACGCTGATTTAATTTAAATTGCTAAATTTGCTGAATTGGATACGGATAAAAAGGAAATACCATTTTATTTTACATTTGATTTTTGATAATGAAATTTTTAAAATGTCAGCAACTCCATACCAATTAGAACCTGTTAAGATTATGAAAAAAAAGTACAAGAATACACTAAACAATACAGTTGACAATAGTATCAGATATGAAAATTCGTGAAAGGATATGTGAGATCCTGATTTTGCATTAAAAGTACAATTAATTGCAACACAAGTCGGCATTATAAATTTTGATTATAAGTTTACAGTTCAATATTTTATAACCATCAAATAAAAAACATAAAGTTTGTATATTTTCGCCCGTTTTATACAACTAATATTTAACAAAAATACGGACAAATTATTATTAAATAACGCAGTAATTAACACATTAATTAAAGGCAATAGTTCAAGATGTCATAATGCGCATTAAAAAACATATTATATTTGGTATTTTCAAATTTGTGTTGTAATTGGCATTTGTCTCTTAACATGAAAAATGAAAAATTTTTAAAAACACAATTAACAAATACAAATTTTCAAGAAATTTTCTCTTCCAATTCTCATTTATTCAAACAAAATTTACTATTAAACTTTTATTTCTCTCATCTAAAAAAAGAACGAGTAACGCAAAAAAAATATATATATTCTATACAACTCTTATTCATTCAAAGTTTAATTGCGCGAAACTTTTCTTTCTCTTTTGTTCTACTCTTTTATAAAAAGAGCGCCCGATGAAATAAAAACTTTTCTTTTTTAACATATAATTATAGTTTGAGATAAAATTAAATTAGAAATAAATCAACAATGAACAAAGCAACGAACAGATTAATCTGGAACTATTTTGATATTTTTGAAAATAATCAACATAAACAACATTACCAACAACAATTATCAAATAAACAACACAATCTCGCATAATTTTAGGGGCATTTTATTTTTATTGCTTAGTCGTTCTAAATAATAAGTAAATTTAGTTCAAGTTAATAATTCAATATTTACAGTTGCAATATAATAAAGAAATGGTGTTTAATACTGAACTTTTTATTTAGTTATTTATTTTTTTACCTACATTTGTTATAAAAAAATTTAGAACCCCCAACAAACCCCCATCATTAAAATAATTTGTTTTAAATATATTTCGATGTGATTATTCAAACTAATTTTTTTCCTTTGACTTTCCGAACTTCATGCAAAGCAAATTGAAACGAAATACCGTCTAACCAAATAAAAAAGCTGTTACTAATTTTATACGGGTAATTAATGTAAAACAATTTTTGAGATAATAAATATTCATAATTTATAAACATTAAATATACCGCGCAATAACAATTTATAGCAACGAACCAGCATAAAATATTTAAGGTTTTAATATCTTTTTAAATGTTAAAAATAGAAAAAAAAACAACTAAACAAATCAAAAAAATTTCGAATAAAAATAAATAAAAATATTTCTAGAGTTTCATTTGTTAAAAGTCTACCGTGACGTCAAATACTAAAACTTTTATGAATTAAACGCGCTTCAAAGGAATTGCCAAAGTCTGTAGATTGCGACGCATAATTTGAAGACTCCGAGTGGTTGAAAAAAATGGAGAAGATGAGCTTCTATTTTTATTTGTTTCTTTATTTTCAGTTCTGACATATTTTGGGTATTGCTGCAGTTTCCATTCAATTAAATTTTTAATAATTGTAAGCGAACATTAAAAATTTGCAAAGCAAATGTCTTTTAAAATTCTCTTTGTGAACCGTTTCAAATTTTTCAAAATTTCAAGTTTCAAATTTGTTGTTTGAACAAGAGAATATTAGTCTTCTAAAATTCTCAAATAATTAAATAAATTATCAAATTCTCAAATAATTAAATAAATTATCAAGTTCTCAAATAATTAAATAAATCAAAATGAATTCCTAGAAAAAACTTGCGTATTTCTAGAAAATATTTTCTTGTCATCTTGGTATTGCTACAAAATAAAAGTATCGAAAAAATGGTTTCACATTTTTCATACTGTATTCAGAGTTTCTTGTTAAAATAATATTTAATTGAAAGCATGTGCATGTGGTAATAGCGTAAGATATAAATTAAAAAATTAATATAGTTACTTACATTTACTTTTGCATGTAAATGTCTTTAAGCATATTAAAATATATTTATTAGTCAAGTTTAAATTTTTTGCTATTTTAATTTATAGGTAAACTTAGTGTGATGTATATTTTCTTTAAAGTTTTTACGCAATAAGTTTAACTTTAAAATTGAAGTAGAAAATTATTGGCTTTCACGCAGAGATGATTTGAGTATTTAAAAAATCAAAAGCTCTGTATGTTGAATAAAAATCTCTGTGCAAGATAGTAAATGATCCCATACTTATAATATAAAGTTACATTTAGCGTACTTTTTGGATGACTCATACTAAAAACCTCATAACAAATCATTTATTCTATGTTTTTAAAAATGGGAAAAAGAAAATAAATTTAAATTTGAAAAGAAAAAACAACAACAATGAAATTGTGAAGAAAAAAAAGAAAAGCTAATTGCAAAGCTGCCAAAAGCAATCACAATTCGCTTAAATTGAACCCGGTTTTTTTTATTTTAAGTTTATTTTCTGTCATAGTATGAAAAATATTTTTTTTAAATTAAGTAATTTCAAATGCGTTTTTGGAAAATTTTGTTTATGGAGTTTATTTTGTTACCTAATTATTAGTTTTTATCTTAAATAATAGCATTTGCTAAATAAAATAAATAAGTTAATCAAAAAATGTTATCCTAATATATAATGTGTATTCTATGAATGTTTGTTTTTATATATTGTTATAAAGTGTTTAATATATTAATATATGTATTCTATATTTCTTAGCAACACTTCCTGGTATGTGGGAACGTACAGTTACTGTTTGTAGTGCTGGGAAAACATTTAGTGTTACTGGTTGGAAAGTGAGTTTTTGATTACTTCATTTAAATGTATTGAAAAAGTGAAAATTAAATTAATTATTTCAATTAATTATAGTCAGGCTGGCTTATTGCCCCCGAATACTTGATATCAGGTGCCATGCGAGTTCACCAAGGAATTATATATACTTGTCCTACACCACTTCAGGTTTTACTTATAGTTATTTTTTGTTTGTTAGTCCAATTTTGTTTCAATAATGTTTATTACTATGTTATGTATATAAATATGTAATTTAAGCACTTTTCTTAATTAATTTTATATGCTGATTTCAAATTACTTATTTTTTTTTCTCATTATAAATGTTTAGCCTTCGACTTAGGGATGACAAAAATCCCTGACATTTTCAATCCTGAGATTTCAGAATTAAGAAATTTATCACTGAGGAAGTAATTTAAATTGTGAAACAATACTATAAAATAATAACAAAGTATAAATAAAAATAATAATTTTAAAAAGTATAAATACGCATGAGTTTACTTAAGTTATATTTATTTTTGAAAGAACCACCTTAAAAAACTCAATGCCTCAATCGTTTTATCATTTAATTGTGTTCGATTTCAGCTGAGAATGCTAGCTCAGACTCTACACTTGTTGGCTGTATAGATAATATATATTCATATGTTTTATGAAGGTGATCATTTCTTATGCTACCACTTTCAAATAACAGTTCTTTTTTTGAATTTTATAAGTTATACTTTCTTACCCTTAAAGGTGGTTTTTGTATTGCTGCTAATTCTTTTTCTATAACTTCATTTAACTATTCACTAATGGTTTTGATAGTATTATCACATTCATGGCTTGATCAAGTCTGGTTTAACTGAACATCATTATCACTACTGAAGTCAGCTGTTGTTATTATATCTGCCGATTTTAAATGCTTTATCAGGTTTATTATAATTTTTTAATTTTGGGTCCTTGTATTTGGTACAAAAACTTCTGGCATTTTTGATGAAGTAATCTGGCCATTATGAAGATGATAAACTAAGCTAATTAACGATGTTCTCCCCAACGTACCTAAAATGTACTTGTATATGTACCTAGCTCAAGCATTGCTTAAATGAACATGAAGAAAACTTTTGTAGTTTAATAAACCATCTGTATTTTGATAACTTCATTATTTAAACCGACTTTAACTTTTGTAAATCATACACACATTTGGAATTGAAATGAATGGGAAAAAAAATGGAATTAAACTTAAGCACACATTTGGAATTAAAATGAAACAGAAATTAAAAAAATAAATTAACATAATTTTTATTAAAATTTTTTGCTCTCCCATCAGCTAAAATTTCATTTACATTTTATAATATATTAGTTTTAATATTATACCTTATTTACATTTTTTATGTTTAATAGTACATATTTTGCAGACAAAAATATTTTAAGTTTTTATTATCAATAACATGCAGAAAAAGAGAAAGAATATTAGGAAAACATTTCAAAGAAAATAAATAGCTACAAAACCAAACAGCTATTATACCAAAGACATTCACGTTTTTTTTTTTTTTTTTAATTTTAATTCACCTCCTCAAGGCCGAGAAGGCCACTACAGACGAGGAGGCTACTTATTTGTGGTTATAACCCTCTCTCAACTCTATAACTCCGAAACACGAACCTTGACAAGCAAGGCCGCTGCGCGGAGAAACGAGTTGAGCGCGGTACTACCAGGGACGTGGTGGGGATCGAACTCGGAACCACTCGTTTATGAAGTGAGCGCTCTACCACTACACCAACACCACATGTCGTTTTATCAAAGACATTCACATTTTACGATGTACAAGTTGCTTAGTTACAAATTAAGCCTAAACTTTTTTTACTTTAACTTTTTTTTTATGACAATTTTGCAGGAAGTTTTGGAGGCTAATCCTCGGATTTCAGGATGAACTATTTGTACAGGAACCTAGGATTTTAGGATCCTGGGATTGCCATATCTACTTCTACTTCAATTTCAATAAAAATGATTATTTTAATAAAACAATCTATTGTTAAATTAAATGAAATCATTATTAGGGTATGTCATACTTTTAAAAATTTTAAATTAAAAAAAAACAATTTGGGAAGTGATTTTATTATGTGGTACATATTTCTATGCAACACTAAAATAAATAAATAAAATTTTGGGGGTAAGGAGGGGGGAGAGGGTGATAGGAAATAAACTTGTAAATTTAAAAATTTAAAAAAAGTTAACAGATGAATAGTAAATTTTTATTACACATGGTTTTTAAAACATTTTACCAGACAAAATAGCTTTTTTAAATATATATGCATTACTGACAGTTTAAAAAAATATTTTTCATAGTTCTAAAAAAAATCAAGTTTTGATTATGTTAAGTTTTGAAATCAGAGTTTTGAATTAGATTTGTCCATGGGCATCCACATAATTTTTTCATGTTTCACATAACATCTTTAGCCATTTGCAACTCTAAACTTGATTTCTATTATATATAAAAAGTATATGTTTTGCAAAAAAATGGCACCAATTGATGTCTGATAACAGATACACCTAAAAAATTTGCTCATGCATGTTAGCTCATTTTCCCTCGTGTGATGGTGATGAGCTAACAAAACAAATTGTTTTACTATCTTATACTCAATATATCTTTATCAACAGGTTTTAACAACTTGAAAGAAAAAAAAAAGTAATTTTAGGTGTTTGTAGGTTTTTTTGAGGATTTTCCAAGGAGCCAGGATATTTGAGCCAGGATAGGTCAGTTGGTTAGAGTGTTGCCAAAAGTTTGGAATTATTATTAGCCGTGCAGAAGGGTTGCAGGTTCAAATCCCAGCTCTGTCTTCTCAGTTTATGAGTAGTACCTTTGTATGATGGGAACTCGTCTGGTTTAGCACTGCTATTACTATGTTTCCTTCTTGACTTGTAAATAAATAATCTAGTTGAGTTAAAGAAAGTTATCTTTTTCGTTATTGTTTTCATGTAGAAACTTCAAATTATTAGCTTATTCTCCTGTAGACATTAAATGGCATTCTCTTGTATTTTTATCAACAATTATGATTTTAAATAGAGTGGATCTTTGCGGCAAATGCTCATCAGCAATTCCATCATTGTATCTTTTTCCAAATCCAAATTACTTCTACTCTGTTAACAAGAAAACATATAGCTAAATTTTTCAAAACTTTATTTGCATCATCCAATTTTTTTGAAGCGTATTTACGAACTGCTTTTACAACCACTGACCAGTAATCTTATTTAATGAAAATTTCCAAAAGATTATTTGTTGTTGACTTCATTAAAGACAAGTACAAGAACCATCCTAAAGACAACTTTGTATGGTAAAATTTGTGCTGCGAGATTTCTTAAGAAGTTTATTAATTTTGATTTAAAACTAGTTAATTTATTCTTGTTGCAATGTTTTTCATTTTAATCTGTATCTAAATATAGTTTACAGAATTAATTGCAAATATTTTCTAGTGAAGTAAAGCAAAAACATAACTTTTATTCATTTCAACTCAAGTTTATATAATCAAAATTTAAACGACATTAGTTGTATTTTAAAGTTACATAACTTTACAAAGATTTCTATTTTTTAATTTTTTAAATATCTTTAAACTGTTAAAAACAGAAGTAGAAGGTTAACCTCAAAAAAATAGCAAAAACTGAATTGTTTTTTGAAATTTTTAAAAAAAGTTAATTATAGTTAACTGGTTTAACAAAAAACATAAATTTTAGACGCCCACCTCCTTCCTTTTCTCACCTTCTTTAGTATATATATTAGACGCCCACCTCCTTCTTTTTCTCACCCTCTTTAATATATATTAGACGGCCACCTCCTTCCTTTTCTCACCCTCTTTAGTATATATATTAGATGCCCACCTCCTTCTTTTTCTCACCCTCTTTAGTATATTTATTGAAGAGTGAAAAATACATGTGATACATAAATGTAAAGATTAAAAATTAGTTTTAATTTTTTAAATATATTTTTTAGATAGCTTTAGCCAACACATTCAAGCATGAAAAACTGCTTTTAGGTACTCCTGATTCTTATTGGCATTGGTTGTGTCAAAATATGACTGGCAAACGTCAACGAATGTTTGAAATAGTTAAAGAAGCTAAAATGAAGCCAATTATGCCAGATGGTGGATACTTCATGCTAGTCGATATTACTGGTTTGAGTAAGTTATTCTGTATCTTTGCTTATTTAAATGATTTGACCTGACACTTGTTAGCATTACTGGCAGAGTTTTTAGTCCTTGGCCTTGCCTTAAGGCCAAAAATAAACACTTTGGCCTTTGTCTTGGCCTTGAAACTGTTGGCCTTAGCCTTCGTCTTAGCCTAGAAAATTTTAGCTTTGGCCATGATTGTTTTGACCTTGGCCTTCAAAAAAAATACATAAAATTAAAGAGTTAAAAGTTTTCATTCTTTATTTTTATGTATTTTTGTTTTCGGATTTCATATATATTTACATGTATATTTTCTTATTGACTATGTTGTATTTTAAGCATAACCTTGGTCTATTTTTACAACATGTGGTTTTATTGTCACAGTATTTGCTACCTACAGTCTTGTTAATAAATGGCCTTAAGTTAAGGCAAAAATTTTAAGTCTTTGGTCTTGAAAATGTTTGCATTGGCCTTGGCCTTGAAACTCTTACTCTTAACCTTGACCTTAAAACTCTTGTCCTTGGCTTCATAACCTTTGGCTTTGGTTTTGGACTTGGCCTTGCTAATAATGGCCTTGTTAACAACTCTGATTACTGGTTTAAATTTTAAGAAAATTTTATTTTTAAAGATGTTGATCGAAGTGGATATGATGATGATACTCCGCTTGATAAAATAGTGCAACAATGGTTAATTAAAGATAAAGTAAGAATTATTTGTTTTATTAAATGTAAATATCTGTTTATTTTTAATTATTTTGTTCAAATAATTTTTTTAATATAATTTTTAAATATTAATTTGGTTGTATAGAGTAAAATGGGGTCAAATGGAATATTTAAGGATTTTAGTTATTAATTTTTTATGAAAAAAAGATGTTTCCATTTTTTTTTTAAAGTTATAGAGAGTATTGAGCTGTATTTAGATATATAAAAATCTATCAATTTTTTTGTAAAGTTTTTTATAAAACTTTATTTGATTAAAAAAAAAATTATTCCATTCTATTCTGACATTCAACACTTTATTAAAAAAACAAAAAGCAATCAATAATTAACAATTTAAAAAACAATCAACAATAACAATTAAAAAAATTAATTAAATAAAATAAACTTTTTTATTCTTGTGATGATGTTGAGTAATTTAGAGGTACTAGAGGTTGAGTCGAGTTTTCACTTGTGCAACACTTTTTTGTGTAATAAAACTCAGCGCCTTTTATGTATCGCTTTGGTATGCATGTTTGACATTGCAATTTGAATTTTCACACTGGTATCATTCCATATTTTGACTTGCTGAAGTTTCGCCCAAAACTTTTCGTCACTTTTTACACTTGAATTGGTTTGCAGCTTATAAAATTTTCGTTGGACTTGTTGCTTGGTTTATTTGCTGTTCTCCATTAGAACTAAGCTTACATTGTTTTTTAGCTTGCTTTGCTGCTTTTTTGCTCTTAGCATCTTTCAACCTTTCAAGTATTTCAGGTTTGTTGAGACACTCCCCTTCGAATCTTGGCACATCTACATTTTTTCTTTTTTTTGTGTCAACATGTTGGATACGAAACATTTGTTGCAAAGCTGCTGCAAGTGATTGCCGTTGTTTTGCAACCTCTTTTTGAATTTCCTTTTGAATAGCCAGAGTTACTACAATATTGAAGGTTGTTTGCAGACAACGTGATCGCAGTTAACAAGAGAGTAACAAGCGTATTTCATTTATTTATTAGAACCTTTTTATAAAAGCAGTAAGTAAAAGTAATTTAAATTCAGTTAGAAAAATTTGTTCATTGAAATTTATACAAAAAGTTTATAGTTGGAGATTTATTAGTCACTTGAGACCTAATAAAAAAAAAGCCGCTTTTAAGAAATTAGCTATTGCTTCGTATTTATTTATTAGCGTATTTTATTCAGCCCTACATCTCTCCGTTTCCGTTTTTAACTCATAACTTTTTTTCCTAAATGGCAAATTTAATTTTGAAAAAAGATTCTTGATCAGCCTAAAAGTTTGTAGCAGTAAACATTTTAAGTTCAATGATGCTGAATTTAATTTCCAAAAGTTTTAAGTTCCCTTTTCAAACAAATAAAAAAAATTTTATTACGCATTCAAAAACTTATAAATTTTTAACTAAACTTTTTTTATTAAAAATAAAATTTTATACAATCTTACTCAGAAAAATATTCTTGACAATAAAATCAAAAAATATTTGAAAATAAATTATTCATAGTTAATTTAGAGCAAAAGAATAAACATTGTCATAACTATTTCATTCTTCCTGCTATTTTATTTTACCCTATTTTACTGTACTTGTTACAGTTAAGTAACATTAGTTTTGCTACTGTTTATACTCTAAAAGATTAAAAAAGTACATAGAGAAAATCTTAATATATAGAGGTTTTTAAATTTTAAAGCTAAACTTACAATTTTTTTTACATAAAATTTCAATCGTTTTTTTTTTTTCAGGGTTTAGCTGTTATTCCATGCAGTGAATTCTATAGCAGTGAACACAAAAAAGAGTTTGAGAATTTTATACGTGTCTGTTTTATAAAGGTAAAGCACGACAACATTTAAACAAATTTATTCATTTTTTGTCTTCAAAATTTTTCACTTTTTTATATTTTTTACAGTTACTTTTTGTGCAAAACTATTGAAGTCCTGAAGATGGCAATTTTCAGTAGCTAACCTTTTTTAATGTGACCTTAATGCTTTAATAGGTTTGACCTTAATTCTTTAATAGGTTGACCTTGTTCCACTTTTTGTGTGTGTGTGTGTGTCTATATGCACTCTCTCTCTCTCTTTTTCTATCTCTCTCTCACACACACATTGAATTATTGATGATGATGTCTTACTGAAAATGGGAAAAAAATGTCCTACTAAATTTTTAAATATTGAAAAATGAATAAAAGTAACAATGCAATTTATATCTTGACCACATGCATTCTCATCAAAATGACTTTAAATTTCAATTAAAAAATATTTAAATTTTAGTTGGTAAGTTTAAAGGGTTTTTGATAGACAAAAAATCTAATTAACTTTATTTTATTTATTTTATTTTTTTAAATTATCTAGTTCATTTAAAAAAAAATACTGTGCAAAGAGATACTTTGCATTAAGCACTTAAGTATGCTTTTGTGTTTTGTTTTGTGCCCAAAATAATTTGAGTTGTTTTAATATTCTAATATTTAAAATTGTGAATATGGTGCAGTAATATGGAGCCTTTTTAGAAAAGATGAAATTTATAAAATCGAAAAAATACAACACAAAACGACAAAAATAGAGAATTGAAAGGATTGATCGTATGAAAAAAAGGTTAATTATCTGAAAATTGAAACATTATAGAATAAAAAAAAAGATTAGATCTTATTCAAATGTTTGAAATATCCAAAGGATTCGATAAAATAAGTTTCAGCAATCCTAACAATAATTGTAACAACTATAAGAAGACACATGAGAATTAAAAAAGAAATATTGAATAAAACCTCAAAGAATGAAACAATCAGACAACTTCTTCACAAAGAGAATATCAAATTATTAGAACGCTTTGCCACAAGATTCGATAAATTCAAGTTTAATCAGTTAGAAAGAAGATTGCTATGATTTTGAAATAAGAGAAACAAACAAAATTATGAAATTATATAAACATTCAATTCTTTAAAAAAAAAGTATTTTACTTTTAAAAGGCGTTATAGAATGAAATTTTACTATGAATTTTGGACTATTTATTGGACTATTATAATTGTAATTGTAAAAATTAAATATAATAACATATTACAATACAATAATATTGTATTGTAATAATATTGTACAATAATATTGTATTGTAATACCAGAGATTTAATTGAAACATTATTTATGGTTATTGTTAGGGTTGGGAATACCGGGATCCCAGATACCGGGATTCCGGTATTTGGAACAATTTATAGTTGCTGAAATACCGGTATTAAGAAAGTTGAATACCGTTATTTCGGTATTCTAAATAATTTCACCATTTGAAAGCTTAAATAGTTTAAAATTTTAATTGATCTTATAAATGGAAACAAAATTCATCGTACAAAATTAAATGTGGGTATAAGATATTGGTTATTTTTAGTTAAACTAAAATATTATATAAAATTCCTAACGGCAAGTTAATTTATACATTATAAACTATACATTTTATTATTGTGTTTCGAACTTTTAGAAAATTTGTATTTTACACCGATATGAATATTCAAGATTTTGAGAAGCATTCCAAAGCAAATGATAAAAATTCACCATGGTTTCATTTTGTTAGAGAAAAAGCGGGACAGTGTGCTAAATGCAAGTTGTGTAAAAGAATAATAAAAACACATGGAGTTTCTACAAGCAGTCTTCATACCCATTTAAAAACAATTCATATAATCAATTTATTAAAAAGAGATGTAGGTAACCCAACTGTTTTAAATTCATCAGAATTTGTACAGACATAAAAACCTTCTGTAACTATAAACAAGGGATAAATTGATGATTCATTGCCAGCTATTTTAGCTAGGATGACTGCGTTTGATGGTTTATCATTCAACATTATCTGCACATCAAATGATATCAGCAAAGGCTTAACAGCCAGGGGCTTTTCTAAAATAGGTGATTTAAAATCACCTATTTTGTTTTCAGATGCAGAGTTTGAAATATTGTCAAATATCCTTTCAGTTTTACTTTCTAATAAGATTACAGTTGAAGCAATCTGCCGACAAGATGCAACTTTGTTATCTGCAGAAGCTGCTATTCAATTTATAATGAAATCAATAACTGGCCATCCATGTTCATTAAGTTATGAATTAAAAGCAGCTTTAAAAGTACGTATTCTTGAAAGACGAACAAAAATTTTAAGTGTTTTAAAATATTTACACGATGTAGACTCCAATGAAAATCCAAATGATGATGAAACCGATAAAGATTATGAATTATTTCCATCGTTACCAAAGCTGCAATCGCAAAAGTTATCATTTTACAGATACAACGTATGGGTGTGGCCTAACTTACATTATGAAGCTGCATCTGTAGCAACAACATCTACTTCAGCCAACATATCAAATTAAGACAAATATAATATTCAATGTCAATGATGATAAAGTTGATCAAAGAAATGAAATTTCTCTGACTTTAAAAAAATAGTTGTAAATGGCAATATCAAAAAAAATTTGCACCAGATTACCTGAGAGTGGAATCGACCGAAATAAAAAAGATCTCATACGCTCAACAAAAAAAGAAAGGGGTTGTCCATTAATTACGTCAACAAATTTTTTGAAATTTTTACTTCCCCCTCCCCTTGTCAACAATTTGTCAAATTTCCAGAGACACTCCCCCCCCCCCCTATATAATTACGTCAATTTTTGAGAACTCCCTCCTTAAACAAAAAAGCTACGCTCCAAATTTTCTGTTATTTAAGCAATAAAATTGAAAAAAAAAAATTAATTGACCTTCCCCTCCCCAACCTTAATTGACCCCTCTCCCTTGTCAACAATTGTCAAAAAAGTTCAGACCCCCTCCCCCTATTTTGTTGACGTAATTAATGAACAACCCCAAATGTCAGTTTTTGAAACAAATAGCATAATGCAGAAAAAGTTGAACCTTAAAAATTTATGTTTTCTACCTTTTCTTATAATTAATATATAAGTAACATTTTACTGAATTTTTTTTTTTTTTTTTTTTTTTTTATTCTTTCAATAAGTTAATATAGTTTTTTTTAATTGCCTAACCATTTTTTAATGATATTATTATTCATTCGTATTATTATAAGAAAAATAATAATATCGGTATTAATACCGGAATCCCGGGATTAGAAATTTTCAATACCGAAATACTGGTATTTGATTTTTAGTCCGGTATTCCCAACCCTTGCTGTGATGTAAAATAATTACAATAACTATTATATTGCTGTGATAAAAAACAATTACAATAAGGACTGTGGTGTATTGTATTACTATTTTAAAGTCCAATAGTTATTTTATTTTAAAGTATTTAGATTCTTTTTCCGCGCATTTATTATTATTTGGGCACTAGAAAATTCAGAGTTGCCCGTGACGCTCGTTTTTAGCAGTCATTTATATATATAAATTTTATTTATTTTGAGAAGTGAGTAAAGCCAGGAAAGCCTAAGAAGTATATATATTACGTATACTTAATAAATATTAAGTTTAGGAGTGCTCGTGTTCTAGCAACCATTACCATATATAAATTTTTTTTATTTTGAGTTCAATAATATAACTGTTAAAATGATAATTTATTTAGATTTAACATTAATAATATTTATTCAAAATCATACAAATATATAATTTATCATGCTTGTAATTAAATAATTATTTACTTAGTGAAGTGAAATTTTTGATTTTTTTATAATTTTGTCTGAAATGTTTCACCGGATGATGACGTCTAAAGCGCGTGAAAATATTTTTTTTTTTAAATAATTAACCGCTAAAAAGAAATTAATTACAGCGTTATAAAATCAGAGAACCATTGACCTGCAGCCGTATTCACATCTCTCCGTTAAACCCTGCGTTAAGCTAACGGCTGGGTTAAAATTTAACGGCAGTTTTAACGCCATAGTTAAAATAAATTCGTATTCTCGTATCCTCCGTTCAGTTAAAATAAAGTTAACGGAAGATAGTTAACGGTAAAATCTAATTCTGCTATACCTTACAGTTAAAACCGAAAACGAAAAGATTTTCTAAAATATTAAAAATGGTATCCAAACAAAATAATATGTTGAGTTTTTCTCATCAATAACAGCTGAATAAACTGTTTATTATTTGTTTTACATACAACAAACAAGTTTAGTTTTAGGCTAAATAAGTTATATTATGTACTATACAATATTTCTATAATTAATTCTTCAATCATTAAATCGTTAATGTATATTAATTAGACATTATACTTTAAAATACATGTTGTATTATCACATGAAATACTGAAATCGCTACATTTTATTTATATTGTTTTTAATGCACGTACTATAAATCGCAAACTTATGTATAATATATATATATATAAATATATATGCATATATATATATATATATATATATATATATATATATATATATATATATATATATATATATATATATATATAACATTTTATACCTAAATTATAAGTAAATTAGGTATAAAATGGGAGTTAAACATTGAAGTAAAACATTGAAGTTTTGGAAACAGACGCGAAACCATGTAAACCGATGTTTGAACATTAAATGATATGGAACATTTAATGATAATGAAACAGAAAAATGGCAGAATTTCCAAAAGTAACTGACGTAATAGATTGCACGCATATTTGCATACAGAAACCACACAAGCACGAATGCTTATGTTGATAGGTCATCAAATCATTCAATCAATGTCCAAGCGGTGTGTGACAACAAAGGAAAGTTCATTGATGTTGTTGCAAAATGGCCTGGGAGCACACATGATGCAAAGATTTTAGGAGAGTCAAAACTTGGTAAGAAATTTATAGATGGAATTCTTAAAGGCTTTGTTATTGGTGATTCCGGCTATCCGTGTTTTCGTTGCTACTTACGCCCTATTTAAATCCAACTACATCATCTCAGCGTAGATATAATATATCTTTAAGAAAAACAAGGGTTATAATTTAACAAGTGTTTGGAAGGTGGAAAAGACGCTTTCATTTGCTTTATGGTGAAATTCAAATGACCCCTGAAAGAACCTGTACCTTAATTGCTGCGTGCGCAGTATTGCATAATTTAGCAATACAGTTAAATGACGGAGACATGGATGAAAATGATAATGAAGATATTGTAGCTGAAAAAAAATTTCCAATATCGTGATGATTTTTCTTTGCGACATTTTTGACAATAATTTATTTGAATAAATTTACTCATTTTCAAATTCCTTTTTTAAAATAATAAACGGTTTATTAATTTTGTATTTGTTGTTAATTTGTGATGGAGCGATGGAGTTTTATAGAGTAACTTAATTTCATATTATAGTGAAACTCCAATTTAATTGTTTTTGATGGTGTTAATTTATAATTTAACGAAATTAAAAAGTTCAATTTAAAAGTATAAAAAATAAGTACTTAGTAAAAATAAGCCTAAAACAGTTTCTTATTACTTTAACTTGTTTAAATTAAGTTTAAAAAATTACGCAGCAATCATTTAAAAAAATCAATTGTGATGTACCATCTAAACAATATTATCGCCAGTTGGCATCGCAACATTTGGTTGTTATGTAAAAAAGGGCACGAAAGTTAGCTAACGGAGTGGGCAAACCGAAAGAATTCAACTGACAAAGTTAACGGAGCGGTTTATAAACGGTGACTTAACGGAAGGATAAGAATACGATTTTTCTCCATCCGTTTCGTAACGGCCCGTTAACAATTTTTTTCTTAACGGTCACTTGAACTCTCCGTTAACTTAACGGAGAGACGTGAATACGGCTGCTGGGTAATTATCGATTAGATTGTCTAAAAATGTGAACTACTTTTGCTTTGTTAAAAACATTTTTTTTTACAAGATTACATCACCTATTAGAACGTACCAGTAAATTTTGTGGGGTTCATTTTTGAAAAATCAGGCAGTTTAAAATACCAAATAAGTATCGTTCTTGATTTATGTAACAAAATTCTTGCACAACTTTGCAAATAGATTTCCAGTTACTTTATGAAACACATACAGCCATAAAAGCCTCAGGGAAACAAAAGACAAAGTTATATTAGAGTAAGTGTTAGTTGAGTAAGTTACGAAACAATTGGATAGGTGCCTAATGTAAAAGCAAATAACTAAGTGAAAGAAATGGTAGTAATTGATCATGTCTATCCTCAGCAGTAAAAGAAGTACAAGTCAGATCAAACTCACTTTTATAGAGCTATATAAAGTTTGCAATGAGGACAAGTGATTTTCAGTAAATAAAATAGAAATACAATCAATAATTATATATTAGTTGTACCCTATTCCAAGGTCACATATCTCGGAGACTGGACTGTTAAAACATTTATTAAATTTTGAAGTTAAAATAATTTTTTTTATTACAATAACTATAAATTGTTATTGTATTATAAAGCAGATTACAATACAATATTTATTATTATATTCCTCATTACAATACATTTTTGTTTTAGATATTGTTATTGTATTGTGAAGATGAATAGCAATACAATATTTATTGTTTTTGTATTACAGTATTAAAATAATTGTAAATCGCATGTATTGTTATTGTTTCTAAAAAAGTTAATGCAATAACAATAGTTATTGTTTCTGTTATTGTTTTCATTAGTCATTAGTCACATTTCATAGTCCTAACCCTATTATTTTTCATTGTACTTTTACATTATATTTTATATTGTATTTTACCTTATATTTTATGTTATATTTTACTTTATACTAAATTATATTTTATAAGTAGTAGCCAGGTATTCAGCGGGCATTGTAGAAGTTTGGCAGCAGGTTACATAGCAGGCTATGTAAGAGGCAGGTAGCCCGCGGGCATTTTAGTAGTTGTGTAGCAGGCAATGTAACTTGTGATTTAGCGTGTGGTTAACCCTCACGCTTTGTAATAACTATGAGCAAGCTATGAGTTATTATGTAACGGGTTATGTATATCGACTTATGTCCTAAAAACAATAAAAAACTATTAAAACCAATAAAAAGCATAAACCAATTCTTTTCGCGATTGCGCGGGCTATCGTACTAGTATATATATATATATATATATATATATATATATATATATATATATATATATATATATATATATATATATATATATATATAAACAATTTTAAAAATGTACTCTACAAAATAGAGTGTTCAATGTTCTTAAAAGAACAGAGCAATTATAAATTAGTAGAAAATCACTTTACAAAAATTTATTTTAATTTACACTGTGTTTCATCAACAAAGACTCATCAGAAATGCTAATTTAATTTAATTTTTAATTTTAGAAATGCTAATTTAAATTAATTTTATATATATATATATATATATATATATATATATATATATATATATATATTACCAATTGGTCGTAATAGCATAAATTTCGTAATAAGTCTAATAAATAACTTTTTTTTTCAGTTTTGATTATACAATAATCATTTTAAAGTATAAAACTGTTAAATACAAAAAATATTTAATATTTAGTGAAAACAAACATTAATTTAATTTTATTCGTTAGTCAAACAAAAGAAAACATGAGAGGTGTGAAAACTACGTCGTAGAACAATAATAAATGTAGATAATTATTGTAATACATACGTCGTAGACTAATAGAAAACGTAAATTAGAGCTAGAGTGATAGCGTGTAATTAAAAACCTGTTTATTAAGATCAGATTTTTCCCACATAATGTGATATGCTTCTTTGATTTTTAAGTGATGTGAAGTTTGGTCGTAGTCTTATACTGAAATAAAGTCTTCAATGGTTACATGAAGCAACTCTTATATATATATACATATATATATATATATATATATATATGTGTGTGTGTGTGTGTGTGTGTGTGTGTGTGTGTGTGTGTGTGTGTGTGTGTGTGTGTGTGTGTGTGTGTGTGTGTGTATATGTGTGTGTGTGTATATATACATATATATGTATATATATATATATATATACAGTCATGTGCATGAAAATAGTAGTGGAAGAAAATTATTTATAAAATACATTTAATTTTTTTACTGATGGTTAATTTTGTATATTTTATTCTCTAAATATTTTCTGTTAGGGTTTTTAAATATAAAGAGGTTGGCAATATTGCTGTTTATACATACATGTATCAGAATTTAAATTAAATTATAAAATTTTGCTTTATTAACTGTGCGTTATAATAGCAGTGAATATACACTTTATTTTCTATTAGTGCCTTAAAAGTTGTTTTTACCATCAATTTTTTTTATACATTAAGGTAAGTGTTTGTTCATTAAAATTAAACGATATTTTATTAAGTTTCACAATTTTATTACAGTTAAAATGGGTAGAGCAAAACATTGTTCCAATGAGAAGCGTCAAATAATTTTAAATATGTTAAAAGATGGTAAAACTTACAAATTCATCCAAGATGCTTTACAATGTTCTGCAAAAATGATTTCCAATGCCAAAAAATGGACACAAAAAGCGGAATTGCGTGGGAAAAAATTTAAAACGTCATTGAAAACGAACCGTAAAATTATTAGATGTGCGAAGATAAATCCTTTTATGAGTTCCACAGCCATAAAAAAGGAATTAAATTTACCAATATCGTCCTCGACAGTGAGAAGACGTTTGATAAAAGCCAATTTAAAAGCCAGAAGGCCCAGAAAAACTCCACTTCTAAATAAGAGACAGATTAAAAATCGAATCGCATTTGCTAAAGAGCATCAAGAATGGCCATCATCGAAATGGCGTAATATTCTTTGGAGTGATGAGACTAAAATTGTTTTATTTAATCCAGTTATTCACGAAAAGTTTGTACGAAGACCCCCACGAACAGAATATAATATAAAGTATACCACCAAGACAATAAAACATGGTGGCTGCCAGGTGATGGCATGGGGTTGTTTTTCTTGGTTTGGATTGGGCCCTATTTTTTGGATCAAAGACATCATGGATGCAACTGCTTATGTTAAAATACTGCAAGAAGTCATGTTACCATATGCAAAAGAAGAAATGCCTTTGAAGTGGATCTTTATGCAGGATAATGATCCTAAACACACCTCTCGTAAAGATAAAAATTGGTTTGTAGAGAATAAGGTTGAGGTAATGAACTGGCCAGCACAATCCCCAGACTTGAACCCGATAGAAAACCTGTGGGGGGATGTTAAAAGAGCAGTATCTTTGTCTAGACCAGCCAATAAAGAGGAACTCTGGAGAGCAGTTGAAGCAGCTTGGAGAGCTATTCCCTTAGAAAGATGTCGTCATCTAATCGAGTCAATGCCACGAAGATGTAAAGCAGTATTGAAAAATAAGGGTCATGGAACTAAGTATTAGATGTATTTTCAAAAGATGAATAAATAGTTTTTCATCAATGTTATATTTTATTTACTTTTTTAATGATAAATCTGCATTCATTAAATGTGATAAAAGTACCTTTTTTAAAAAAATGGTAGTATGATATTGTCCATTTAAGTTTAAAAGCTTTTTTTAGACTAAATAGTGTCAGATAACACTTAATTATGAAAAATTAACAATTACGGTCCGAAATTATGCATATCATTAAATTTAATAAGGTTTTTTTATAATTTTTTGTGCCACTGTTATTTTCATGCACATGACTGTATATACATATATATGTATATATATATATATACATACATACATACATTTATATGTGTGTTTATGTATGTAATATATATTTTTATATATTTATATATATCTGTGTGCGTGTGTTTAAATTGTGTGTGTATAATAGTATAATTAAAATGTTTTTTTTAGGGTGACAATACATTGGACGCTGCTCGAGAAATATTTAGTAAACTTAATATAGAGTAATATTCATATTTATCACAAAATGTATAACTATTTAATCTACATTCTGCTCTGTGTTGTATATGTTGCGCAATGACTTTAAAACTGCCCTGTTCATGAAATATATATTTTCAAATATAAAATATATTTGTGATAAAATAAAATAAACTTATTCAGTTATGTATTTAAATAATGCATAATAAAAGCATAAAATAATGTAAAATTCAAACAAAACATATTACTAAGAGATAAAAAGGAATTCAGAAACTAAATGAATTTTAATGAAGTCTAATAATTAATTTTAATTTTTAAGATTATTTTTTATATAGACAATGTTTTGTAATTTAAACAAATTTTTGTTTAATGCTACAAAATAGAATATATTTCTTTACCAATTTACGAAAAGCCATTTTACTAACTGGGCGATTTTATAATATGTTCGTGGCATACAGATAAAATCTAGTTAATATTTAAGTTTCAATTCCTCCCATTCATCATTTTTTTATCTATCCCTGAAGAAATATTAACGTGTTAACATTTTTTGATACGTTTATACGTTACTATGTATTTCTTATATTCTTTACTAAAATGCTAAATTTGCGTATATTTAAAACATTACAAAGGTTTTTGAACTTTGTTATATCTTTATTTTAAATCATTTATTAAAAACGCTATATTTTACGTTTATTTATTTTAAATTTCCTTTTATGATAACTAATATAACAAATTATTTCATAAGCAATACAAAATCCAGTAAAGAACTCATTACTGCTTAAGCATACCTTTTTTTTTCGCTGCAGAGTACGGACGTGTGCTATTAGAAGGAAGTTTTGAATTAAAAAAAGGCAAAAATTTTACCATAACGCAATTAAAAGAAATAATGGACATTCATGAAAATATAATCATGAAAATGTTTAACAAAAAAAATAAGGAATTTCAATTTTTACAAGAAGAAAATAAAATCCTTAGAAGCGAAGTAGAAGATTTAAAAAAATCCACGGAATTTGTTGGCAAAAAGTTGCCTACAAATTCCATGGATTTTTTTTTCAGATGAACACGATAGGCAGCCGTGGTGCAGTAGTTAGAGCGCTTGCTTTAGAAGCAAAAGATCCAGGATTCAAAGCGAGCTCGGGCATATTTCGCGCCATCAGCAAGGAAGGAGTCGTGAACTTTCTGGTTAAATGCTCTTCCGCGACGCAAAGACCTCACACCGTGAGGTTTTCTTAAGCCACCAAAATATAAACTTATTTAATTTGTTATTATTAACTGCTATTAATCATAAAAGGCAAGACAACATTTGGTATAACGTTGGTGTCTATTGTTAAAAATGATTATGGTTATTTTCATTACTGTATTATTGCTATTAATCATAAATGATTATGGTTTATTAATGGTATTAATAAAATTTGTTTAAATCCCTAAATCTTTAGTGTTGTTAATAACTTTGCTCTTTGAATAAGATTGGCCTTTTTTTTAAAGATTGATATTATTAAAAATATTATAATAAATTAATTTTTGTAATCATGTTATTATTTAATCATTTTTTCTATCTGCAAAAGTTTTACAAATATTGTAATTATTATTAAACATTGTAATTGTTATTAAACAAAATATAAACTTATCATACTCTTCAAACCACTCAAAAATATTACAAAAATCACCTGCTCAGGTATTTGCATTTCAGAACTTGATAGAGAATTGGTATAGGTAATTTCAGAAGTTGAAATAGATCGATTTTCACTTCAACCTGAACTTAAAACATTTTATCTTAACAATTAACGTTAATAGGAATGTTAGTTATAAGGTTGCGATAAATCCTTCTCCGTGATAGGTTGCTAAACGATGAACCATCACCGATGATTTAGCTCTACTTCCCATGAAAAAAAATAAAAATGAAAACGATCAAACTTATCTCTACGAAAAAATGCACGCATATTTTTTACATGAAACCGTTTGCCTAAATTGGAGAGTAAACCCTTACAAGTGTTGTCCAGCAAACACAAAACATCCTAACAGTACTTGCTCAAAAAATACTTTTATTTGCCGGTGGCAGTGTACATAGTAAATGGCTATTTTAGGAAGTCATCTCTAATAATAACTATTACTTTTTGTTTACTCATAAAGTTTTATCTAATTCATAGTATATTAGTATTATTTAAGCTCATTCTGGTGCTCTGTAATAAGAACGTAAGGACTTCTAGGTGTACCTTAATAACTACATAAACAAAAAAAGGAAAACAATTATACCTAATTAAATAATTGGTTATGTTTTCTATTACTTTTTTTTTCTTTTGTTTACTCAATGCTTTTGACTTTCTTAAATACTTTCATACAGGGCCGTTTTAAGCTGGTTCGGGGTCCTTGGGCAAAATTAAGTTGTAAAGCTCCAAAATCAAAATGTTTTCTATACAATATCATTGTAAATATGATTGTAAAGGCTTTGATATAATAGCAACTATTTAAGGCAGTCCCTAAATCGTTGAAATAAATTGTCCAGTTGTCGGAGCCGTTCTCTCATATTATTTCGTTCCATTAACATTTAAATGATATGATATTAAAAAATAGAAAGCGATAATAAATTACTTTATTATTTTGATGACAAATTATTTCAAAAAAATAAGTTATCTCACATTTCGACTAAATAGACTTTTATTCGACTTAGTCGATCTTTAAAGTATATTAGTCGATTTAGTCGACAATCGAGTTATTTAATACTCGTAACAACACTAGTGTTACGATTTAAGGTGCTACATACCTCAAAAAATTATATCATAAAATATTGGTTCTTAGTTATCTCTTTTTGATTTATTTTGACAAAAATAAAATTACAAATAAAAAAAATAAAAAATAAATTACAAAAAATAATTATTCTTAAAAATAATTATGCAAATACCCTAATTATGCAATTTTTTTGTTCCAATTTATCTTTTTATTGCAAAAAGATATTTACAAAAAACTTTGCAAACTAATCAATAATGATGCAATGCATGTTCTGAACTAAAAATATATTAATAAATGCAAAGAATAACTTTTATTTGCTCAATAACAATAGTTCGGGTAATTTTCCCCAAAAAGAAGTACAAAAATGCATATAAAAATAAGTAAACAACAAAAAAATAATAATATTTTTTTAGTTCAGAACATAGACTTCTATGTAAAGAATAAATCCTGAAAATTTCAATAAGTTTGACAAAACAGATTTTAAGTTATTTAGGATCAAAGTTAAAAAAATGTGAATCTGAGAAAAACTCATTAAAAGAATAAAAACTAATCTAAACAATTACTATTAAGTCTAAAAAGTTCCAGAAGCATACATTTCACCTTCTGTAGCAATATTTTTATCATCAAAACCCTTTTTTATTGCTCTGAGCTTTTTTCTTTGTTTTTTAACAATATCACTTGATTTTTTTTTAGAACTTTTTAAGCGTTCTATATCATATTTATGTAAGCCGTATATACAAAATTGACCAGGTTGCAAACCAAAGCTATGATAAACACTTAACAAACCATAACCACCTTCATTGAAACATAGCACTGCAGATGCTACAGTTATATCAATTAATAACTTTTCTACAAAAACCTCTTTGGGGCACCGTTTCCATATTAAACTATGCAAAGCTTCATTAACGTTTTGTGTAATAACTAAAAATATTTTTGATTTCATCTGCAATAGCAGCAGGAATATTGACTTTACTTTTATATTGATTGTTTTTATTTTCAATGGCAGTCTTTTATTTACACCATGAATTCAATGGACAATACTTATGACGTTCTTCAGGCGAAGTATTTTCTGAACAGTGATAAATAATTGCAGCTACTGCCTTTTTCATGCTATATAAGTTTCCTTTATTAGCTCTAATAGCACAACCATAATAGTTCTGAAGTGTGTTTATGACTTGATTAGTAAGACGGTTTTTTCCTGATATTGTTTTTCCATCAGAAAGAATATTTCCTTTGAGAGAAACTTTTATCGCACGTAAACGTGTTCCCATTCTTTTCTGGACATGGCCAACACACTCTTGTTTCTTTATTGTTAATCCAGGATAAGGGTTATTTTTAACAACTTCAAGAAATGATTTACTGTCGCCATCACCCAGATAAAATAAATATCTAAGTTTTCTTGTAGTAATGGATCTTTGAAAGATTTTTAGTACACCAGCAGTTTCCATTGAACAAGAACTTCCTTATGATAGAGCAGTTGTGCTCTGCTTTCCAACAGTCATATTCAGAAGTGCCTTTTTTTGCATTTCCAATATTGGCACTGTTTAAAACTTTTTGTTAATGTCTCGACATCTATACACTCACCGTTTGAAATAGCAGTAACAACTCCATTCATGAAGCTGAAACCACGACGCTGCCATGATCCATCAAAACTTGCAGTAACATTTTATATAGAAGAACTATCATTTACTGAACATTCTTCTGCTGCCTTTTTCATTGATTTTTCAGACTCTGAAACATAAGATCTGTGGAGTTTCTCATTTATAACATTGTAACATTTTAAAGACATTGGTTGAGGCATGTTCATACAATAACTAAAACGTTTGATAGCTAAATGACCTTTTCCAATTTCACGAAATGCTAAAACAGAGCGATAGTTAATATCATATTCCTTACCACCATTGTTTTTGTTAAAACTTGAAACTTTTTTGGAGGTATAAAACTCGTGTTTCCATTCACAGGTACAGCAAGTAAGTATTAAAAGATGTGATAATCCTTTTTTTTTTTTTTATATTATGATTAAAGTCTAACTTTCCAAGACATATTGGACAAAAACCAACTTTATCAACAATGTTCTTAAAGATTTGAGTGTTAAAAAAAACATAGCATTCAATATTTTGACTGCAATTTGTATCTAATTCATACTTGAACTCGTCATTTATTTTTATTTTTTTAGCTGATGCAGATATACATATTTCGTTTGTTTCTTTTGTTGTTGCTTTGGACAAACCAGAATTTATTTGGTTTTGAGTGAATCTGTTACCATAAAATTTACTTTTTCTAGCTTTTGATTTCAGTTTTCTGCTATTGGAGCCCATTATAAGTAAAAAAATTTGGTTTTATTTAATAATGAGAACTTAACCTAATTTGCATTACATGCATCTAGTAAATATATGGAAATACCGTGGTTGTGTTGCTTGGA